TTTGGTATCCTTAAGTTAAAAGAACATTAACATTTTTTATTATTATTATTATTTTTCTGATCTACCTTATATCATTCATACAGACTTCTGGTTATTTATATCAAAGCTGCTTTTAGACATCAAAAGAAGAATCCAGGCTGCATTCTGATTAGACAGAGATATAAAAAAATAATTGGGTTCTTACTTTCATATATATTATGTTAATTATTTTACTCCTATATGGAGGAGGCTTCGGACTTACAGAGGTAAGATACAGAAGGTCCTCAACTTATGATAGTTCCACATACTATTTTTCAACCTTAAGATGCAAGAGTAATACCCATTTAGTAGAAAGTACACTTTGAAATTTGAATTTTTGCCTTTGCCGAGGCTTGTAATGCGTGGTACAGTCCTTTCTCATGATGCTGGGCAGTGGTAGCAAGCCATGGCTCCAACTCCGCCATGTCACCTCCAGCTAAAGAACCCATACTCCACAGTACTGCCAAGCCATGATTTTCAGTAGGTTTCTTAGTCACTTTCTTGTTACTGGACAAAATACCCAACTCTCACAACCTAAGAAAAGTCCATGGTCAGCTGGCTCCAAGGCTGAAATAGAATGGATGAAGGCCCTGGCTAGAGGACAGCTGCTCACCGCATGACATCCAGGAAGCAGAGAGACAAGGCAGGGGCAGTGAAGTTATCATTCTCTAGTTCTAATTTTCTTTATCTGTTATAGTTTCTCAAAATTTCATTTTAGATATATGTGTGTGTGTTTTTATGTTGTTGGTTTTTATGGGGTTTTTTTGTTTGTTTGTTTAGACAGGGGTCTCCCTATGTTGCCCAGGCTTGATATATTGCCTCAAATGCCTGGGCCTATGCTATCCTCCTGCCTCAGCCTCATCAATAGCTGGGATTTCAGGCACTATCATCACTACATCTTCAAAATTTTAGAGCAGATGACTTAAGAACCAAAGAGTTTCAAAAACTGTGCTTTTGGCAGTTTGATACAACTTGTAGTTTGTAATTAAAGAGTTCTTTTTCAATCAACACAGTAATTGTGAATCTAATAGACTTTCCTCTAGGAACTGATGTATTGATGATCAGGAAAAAAGAAACATCTCACTGTTCTGGGACTTAATTTCTAGTGGGCAGGGACAGAAATGAACAAAAATAATTAATAAAATATATAGTTAAATTTTAAGGAGAAAATAATGCAGGAAAAGCGATAGAGAATGGAGAAAGCATGTTTGTAATTTTCGGTATAGTAACTCAAAAAACCTCTGTGAGAAGGTGATATTTGAGTGGAAGACAAGGATAAGTGTCTGTGGAAAAGCAGATCACACGACTACACCTTGGAACTACAATGTCCCTGTCATATTAGAGAACAAAGCTAACAGTGTGAGAGGAATGAACTGAATACAAGAGAGAGGAAGAAATGATAGGGATTGAGATCTCTTAGGTTGTGTGGGCCTTTGTAAAGAATTTGGCTTTTATTTTCTTTGAGATGGGATCCACTAGAACCTTTGATCAGAGGAGTGATATTGTCACATACATTCTCTTCTCCATTTTGGTTTAATTTTAAGCAGTTTTATTAGTATGTGTTTGCAGTACAAAATGCTTACATTCATCACAGGTAGTTGGTACCTGTACATAACACATATTTAAAAACAGTTTCTCTGCTCTGCTGAGTATACAGGAAGGAGGCTTTGAGTCAATGTACAGAGATCAATTAGGACTCTATTTAAACATCAAGAGATCAAGTTGGTACAGTTGAATTGATGAGAAGCTATCTGATTTAGAAAATAAAACTTATAAGATTTTCTTCTGGATTAAATGTTTTCCATGAAAGAAATAGGGAAATCAGCATGACTCCTAGGTTTTTGGTCAGAACACTTCAAAGAACAGAGTTGTATTTACTGACCTGAGGAAAACAGAGGGAAGTCAGATTTGAGGGTTGTAGGGGAGAAGAGAACAGAAGGAAGTCACTCTTGGCTGTGCAATATCTGATGACTTACTAAAGACATCCAGATGGAGATTGTGTGGCTCTGAGAATCTAGTTCTAAGGATTTGAGACAAGAGGTGTGTGAATATAATCATTCAAAACCAAGTGTAGGAGACTGGAGATGCGGCTCAGTTCTAAAGTGCTTGCCTAGCATCCCAAGGCCCTGGGTTCAGTCTTCAGTACACACACACACACACAAACACACACACACACACACACACAAATCCTCAGCATAAAAAAAGCATTTTATGTATCATAAGCTGGAATATAAGATTAATGAGATGGACATGCTCTTCATCTTAACATTATATAATAGTGCATAGTTTATGTGATTGAGGTAAATAATGCTTATGAACCTGGAACCTCTGAAATAGGAATACATTTCCATTATCGCATTGTTACAACTATAACCTTGAGTTTCACTTCAATGACTAACCTCTGGAAGGGAGTTTACGTTTTCAAGCACTAGCCCTCTGAAGTTCAGTTATGCAGACTATTACACAGCAAACAAGCCTCTTTAAACTTGTGTCTCATTTTAGCATCTAAAGTCTAATTTCCTTTTCCTTTCATCTTATTGATAAAATTTAAGCTTTGAATTGTATCACATCACATGGGTGCTTCTATCCCAGACTGTACACATTTAGATGGTCAGTGTTATGTTTTCCAAGCTAAACAGTCATAACTGAAAGGTGAATTCATCACTAGCCTTCTGTGTGCTACGTTTAAGTGTTACAAACTTTTACTACTGACATTTTGACATCTGGTATTTTTCTCTCAGCAACTCTCTATGGAGTTTCTGAAGGGCCTATGAAGGCATGGAGTAAATACATTTCTAATAATGCAACTACCCAGACAAAAATTGGAGGGTTTTGCCTGCCGACTTCCTTCCATCCTTCCTTCCTTCCAACCCTTTCCTTTTTTCCTTTCTTTCTCTTTCTTTCCCCCCTTCCTTCCTCCCTACCTCTCTCCTTTCCATTCTTTCTTCCTTCCTTCTTCCCTTCTTTTTCTATTCTTCTTTCTTTGGTGCGGACACGTATAAGTCTGTAAGATACATTTGAGAATGCATCATTCCTGCCATTTTCCTCATTACCAAACCTTGCTGTGCTGAAGATCAGTGCTAGATACCTGATCATAGCATTTTCCTCTGAGTCAAAGAAGAGAGTAACACTCTCCGCTCAAGAAACACTAACCACTGTCCATCTCAAATACTAGAAGTAATTTAAGCTATCAGAGACTAAACACTGCTTTCATGGTATCCCCTGTAGAACAAAGCAGTTAAAAGAAAATTTCTTGAAGTTTTCTTTGATGATTTGTACTTCTTATGAGGAATATAATTGAGGGTTATACAGGAAATCTAACCCATTTCATTACCTGGTCTAGTGGAGGTCTTCACAGAATGATGACTGGGAAGTCATATTTGGGAGTATGAAAAATGTTTGGATTCAGATTACAGCTTAGTGGCTCACTTCTGAGAATGTTTACATTAAGAATAATCTCTAAAAGTATGAAAAAATGACTAAGAAGAGCATACTAAGATATTTATGTACTTTTAAGTTAACCTAATTTATTGGAGAAAATAATTAACACAGTTACTTTGATCTTAAAATAAGAAAGTATATGATCTACACAGTTGAAAAAGGTATCAGAAATACATCTGCTTGTTATCCATTAGAAATTCTATCATGAACATTATTATACTTCTACTACCTTTTTGTACATCCATAAAATCAGTTTCACAAATTTGCATATTTAAAATTTTTCCACACATGATATACTATTTAGATCTTTTTGCTTGTTGCTCTAAAAGCATGTATTAGAATTTTCGGAAGTATCCATGTTTGAAATTATAAATCTAGTACACTGATTTTCTGCTACTTCTTTAGAATTACATAAAATAACTTGCTTATTCATACCTTTGTTGATAGAAGTATGATATCTATAACCTTGCAGGAAACCTCAAAAGAAAAGAGGAATGGATAATTGTAGGCAATTTCTCAACTCTAGTCCACTCTTGGCATTCTGATGTGTTGGGCCACTATGAATTTTAAAGCTTCAAACAAGTTGTTTTGGATAGAGGCAAACTGCCATAGGGTGAACGTCATTTGGAATCTTAGAATAAGGGGAGAAATGGAATAATGCAGAGAACATAGAACAGACCAAATATGGAGGTCATAGGATTTTTTTAAAGGGAATCTAAAAAAAGGCAGTTTCATGAAGTACAGATGTAGAATTCCTGAACTTTTTCATGTTTCTTAGCTATACTATCTACTTTATGCTATTGTTGGTATAGTGATTCTGAATACTTATTTTCCATCTATGTATAACAGGCTCTATTAATTTAAACCCCGTCAAGGATCAAACTTCCCGATCTCCTTAAGCCATTCAATATGAGTACAAATCCAGTGAATATCCTCATTCTTTTAGATCTTCCCACTAAATAAATGATACACATATGTGGCTGTTCATCAGAATTATCTGGGGATTTTTATAAAAATGCATACTTTTATGAGCTCACCTTGAAAATTCTGATAAAGGATTTACAGGATGCAGGATTGTCTATTTTACATTCAAAAAAGTTCTCCAAGCGATTTGGAAACCAGTAGAGACACCACTTCCCTCAGTGTAGAGCTTAATCTTTTGAAGAGTACACCCCAGCAGGAGGTGTATGAAAAGATAATCTACAAAAGTAAAAGTGGTTAAAAGACCAAAGCTTTCCCCTAAAATGTTTTGCTAGACTTAAGTTATCTGTTCCTGCTATTTATATCCTGAAACATGTGCACTAAGAAAGCAGGCAACACTACTAACATCCCTGAATATCTAACTGACCCACACCTTAGAGAAAAGATAAAATGCTTTATCTATGGGAGAAAAAAACCCAAATAATTAAGCTATTTTATACATTGTAGGTGTGAAAGACATTGAGTATGTTATTAAAATCATGCTTCTGAATCCAGACCCTTATAAGACTATGATTGGTTGTGCATGACTGCAACTTACTGTCTTTTTGTTGTATTTCCAGCACAGTGATGCAGTCCACGACCTTCTTCTGGATGTGATCACATGGGTTGGAATTTTGCTGTCGCTTGTTTGTCTCCTGATTTGCATCTTCACATTTTGCTTTTTCCGTGGGCTCCAGAGTGACCGCAACACCATCCACAAGAACCTCTGCATCAGCCTCTTTGTAGCAGAGCTGCTCTTCCTGATTGGAATAAACAGAACTGACCAACCTGTAAGCCACCTGCACTGACATTAGTAAAAGATTTCTCCATTCCAGCTTGTTGGTACTGCCAGTGCTGGAAATATCTGTTGTCATGGCTGAAAATAGCCTTTCTTTCAGCTAATAGATAGTAATATTCAGATCTTACTCAGTTTTTATTTTTCATATTCCATTGTCATAGGGAAGCAATGAGCATTATGGATGAAATGCACATTTCTTTTTAATTCATTTATATATTTGCTTAGTTCAACTGTTTTTGGTTTTCCAGCAAAATTATGCAACAGGTACAGAGATCTTTCATGTAACCGCCTCCTGTACATTGGGATGGCTCTATGCCCTGCCACCACCCTCCTCCATGAGTGGTATGACTGTAACAGGATGAACATGTGTTGACACATCATTATTACTCAAAGTCCATAGTTCCAAATTCATATGGTACTCACTGTAGGTATTGTACATTCTACAGGTTTAGGAATATGGATAGCAACATATAGCCACTCTTAAAATGACACACAGCCTGAAAAGTCTTCATGCTCCTCCTATTCATCTCTCCTTCCTTTCTAAGCCATTCAACCACTGATTTTTTTCTTATTCTCTTCATATTTTTGCCTTTTCAAAAATGGCATATGGTTTAGGATGTAGCTTTGTCCAATTGATTTTTATCATTTAGCTATATATATTTAAATTGTCTCTTTGTCTTTTTTAAACACTGAATAATCTTGCTTGGTATAATATACCACTTTATCCATTATTCTAATGAAGGACATCTTTCTTGGTTCCTTCCAAATTCTGGCAGTTATGACTAAAGATGCTATAAACATCTGTATATTTTTTTGGGGGGGGCAGGCATTAAGTTTCCAATTCCTAAGTAAATACGAAGTACAGTTGCCAGGTCTTCTGATAAGAGTATGTTTAATTTTGGAAGAAACTGCTAAACTGTCTTTGAAATGACTGTACCATTCTGTGTTCTCATCAGCAATCAAGGAGATAAATATTTCTTCAGAAATTCTGTTTCATAATCATGTCTTTCTAAAGAATTTCATATCTTCATTATCTTTTTTATTTATATGTGTGGTACTGGGATTGTACCCAGGGCTGCACACTAAACTAGATCCCCAACCTTTTTATTTTTAAGTATGTTTTGAGATGGACTCAGTAGCTAAGTAGCCCAAGATAGGCTCAACTTCACATTTCTTCTCCTTCAGCCTCCCAGAGTACTGGGATTACAGATGTGTGCCATAAGGTCCAACTTTCATTATCTTTTTATTAATGTCTAATTCATAGATCTGAATATCGAGGACAGTTTAGTAGGATCATTTAGAGAATAGCAATATCTCTTTTCTAATAGATACAATTGTTATTTTTTGAGGATTATAATGTACCTTCAAAACTATCTGCATGTCAAAAATAGTTTTACAATCTGGATGTCGAAAATATTTTTTCTAACTGTCATATTTTAGAAAACAACATAAACTACAGATCAGTTTTAGAATACATAAGCTCTTCTGAAGTTTTGTGTGGCATGTATTATTGCTTGGATTACATTCATCTCTTTAAGTGCCAACCTCATTCTTTACTACTGGTCATACTGAGGAAAGGAAAGGAAAAGAGAAACAAGGAGAGGGGAGAGGAGAGCAAAGAAGAAAGAGAGGAAGAAAGACAGAGAAAGAAAAAACTGAAACGACACTAGCCAATTGGTTTCAGTAAAACTGAATAGAATATACAAATACTAAATAATATGTAATATATAAAACTGGCTTCATGCCCACTCATAATTGTTGAGGCCCATTTGTGTTTACTTAAAATTCATGTACATGGTGTAAGTTTGTTCTCATGATTAAATCTGCAAAACGAAATTTTTTTGTTTTATAGAAAACTTCAGAGCATAATAAAGAATCCAGTGACTTAATGCTGTTCTCCAGTATGTGTCCATACATATGGAGTACTTCATGATGAAAAATGCAGTTAGATTCATGTCTGTCATTATATATTCATGATTAATGACAGTAAAGGGTACAATTATGATGACTATATTGTAAGTGGCCATTATATACTTATGTAACAGCTTTTCCTATAAACTCATGTAAATGAAAAAGCAATCAGAGTGCACATCCCCCTAAAAGTAAAGCTGTATCATAACAAAAACTAATAGTTTAAATTCTAACTTGACAAAGCAGTAAATGAAGTTATATTATTTTCCCAGAATATATAATTTTATTCTTCTGTTAACCTGTGATTCAAATAGTGTGATTTCTTTTCACTTAGAAATCTTTATTTTTGTTACCTGATGTTACACATAGTACGATCAACTTCACTAAACATTGCATACTGCATAAAATTAATTTCTGAAAAGTAATACAAAGAGTAGTTATTGATTACCGAAAAACATGGGTGGAGTGCAAGTCAGCTGAACTTGTCTTTTCTTTTATTGCTAGTTTTGGTGTCCTTAGGACCTAAGTTTCTCTCATCTCTCAGACACCCGACTTCCTCCTGTCTCCTTCATTGTCCTCTTTCTAACACACTGAAAATGACCTGTACTTCACTCATTTCTTAGGGGTCCTACTAATCATTGAAACCATACTGCTCTTAGCACGTTTGTAACTTTCTGACCTTTTCTAGTAGGAGCTATCGAATTTAGTCGGTACTTCCTATAAAAAGGAAAAACACAAAAGGAATGAGAATTTCAGGAACTGATATAAGAATGGGAAATTGACAGATGGTCAGCTGAAACTTATCATATTGTGTGGTACTGGGATTTGAACTCCGGGGCATTGACACTGAGCTATATCTGCAGCTCTTTGTTGTTGTTGTTTCTGCATTTTTTAAAAATCTTGAGACAAAAACTCGCTAAGTAGCCCAGGCTGGGCTCAAACTTGTAATCATCTTGCCTTAGTCTCCCAGAGTAGGAGGCTTGCACCACCACAATGGCTATATTTTAAAAAATGAATAGCTATCTATTTTGACCAAGCTTGTCTAGACTAACAGTTAATACAATAGCAAAAATAATTAGAGAAAGAAGACACTTCTGGAGCCCTTTATTATAACCTGATCCATTTTTACATTTGATCTGTCTAAAATTTCTACTGCCACCTTAATGTTTTTCTGAAGTAAGGGAAGGAAGAAATAAATAAGCAATTATTACCACTAACCTTAAATTATCATTAATATTAATATTTAATTTTAATAAATTTTATTCCCTTCAGTTTTAATGTTTCTCTTTCACTTACAATTGAAGAATATAGGGGGTGGGGATATAGCTCAGTGGTAGAATGCTTTCCTTGCATGTGGAAGGTCCTGGCTTTCAGCACCACGTAAAAATTAGAGAGAGAGAGAGAGACAGAGAGAGAGAGAGAGAGAGAAATTCATGTATTAAAACACACATGACATATGCCTAAGGGCCGAGGCTTTAGCTTAGTGGCACTGAGCCCATCTTGCAAACACAAAGTCCTGAGTTTGATCCCTAATACAAAAAATATATGTATATACCTATTGCAAGGGGAAAAATTCTTGATATCTATTTAAGACTCTTTAGATTAAGCTCAGTGGTAATTGTCCATGGGCACTTAATAGAATTTTTTCCTAATATGTCATAATTTTTCCTTATTCTCATACTGTGCTATCATCCATAAACCATTATTGATGTTCAAAAAACTTTTAAAGATACATTGTATTTACTTAGTTTTGATATGTGTACTTTAAGAATCTTACCTCAGTGATTCCCTTGCAAGTCTATTTTGTATTACAGTATTGATAAATATTGATTTTAGTTTTATGCAGTTGACAGATATCCCATGTGGTAGATATTTGATTGAATAGTTTGTTCCTCTCCCCAGATTGCCTGTGCTGTGTTTGCTGCACTCCTACATTTCTTCTTCTTGGCTGCCTTCACATGGATGTTCCTGGAGGGTGTGCAGCTGTACATCATGCTGGTGGAGGTCTTTGAGAGCGAGCACTCGCGGCGGAAGTACTTCTATCTGGTGGGCTACGGGATGCCTGCGCTCATTGTGGCTGTGTCAGCTGCCGTGGACTACAGGAGTTATGGGACCGACAAAGTGTGAGTTCTCTGCTGCTTTCTTCCCCCAACCCCTCCTCTGTGAATCTAGTTGAAATAAAACCTTTAAATTTTCTATTACCACCGAATTTGATGTAGGAACCAGAGAAAAAAATGGCATTATTCAATGCCTGGTTATATTTTTGTTACATTTTATCATATGTGTGTAAAAAAAAGAAAAGAAAATTCTTGAAACTCAGTATGTTGCTTTTTAAAGACAGCATATTTTTCTACATCATAACTGAGTAATTAGAAGGATGATAATTTTATTATTTTTCAGGGCATTGAGGTATTTGTACCATGAAGAGCTAGCTAGCTGTACAGACAGCTCTGTAATTATAGGATGGTGCCCTTCCCAACACTGGAGGCCTCTCTTCTTCCTGTAGTTTCAGTCCTAGTCTCTGGAAAACTTTTCATATCTTTGGCAAGAAAACTGTAGAAGCAGATATGGCTTGTGTTTCTCCTTTCTTTTTCCTTTATGGGTTTGGTGTAGGTATAGTGGCAAGTTTTATTTCCGATATGACTTTAAATTGATAAGACATACAGAGGGAGGTGCCTAGCATACTGGAAAGGAGTTCAGTTGAAGTTGCTTTTGTAATATACATAAATACAACATTTGAGATCCTGAGAATGAATAAAAGCTTCAGTACAAGAAAGTAGAAAGAAGACCAAGATAGAACTCTGATAAATGCTCACATTTAGGAAGCAGACCAAGATTGACAATAAAGATAGAGAAAAAGAGGTAACGAGCCTCAGAAAGAACAGTAGTACTGAAGGTTAAGGAAAGGGAGAATAAAGTCCCAGTTCATTCAAAATCAGTGGTTATTTATGTCAAAAATAACTCAAGTAGAATAGGTAGGATAGATACTAAGGAAAGATCATTTGACCTTTGCAAGAGCTATTTTGAGGAAGTGCTGGAAGCAGAAGCCAAATTGGAAGGCATGAAGAGATAAATTAGTAGTGAGAAAGTAGAAACTTCATGTATATCCATTCCCTGAAGTAATTTCATAGAAAAACAATGAAAATACTAGCTTGGGTGATGATAATAATGAGGGAGGATTTTAACAGATGAAGTCTTAAGTATATATTGGATGAGAAGAATCAAGTTGGTAAGAGATTACTGGAGAGAAAAAGATCATATGCCCCATTTGTATTCATTGCTTACAGACTGAATGAAAGGGAAGGGTCTTGGACAGTGGTGGCAAACCTATGGTTTTTGTTATCATCAAGAGCCCTAAAAGTTTGCCATCATTGGTCTTGGGGCTGAGTAAATGGATATGACTAAACACTAGATTAAGAAGACCTTGATGTAGTACTAATATCAGTTTTACAGTTCATCACATACGTGATATACATATTACAGATGAACAGCCAAGAACCATATAAATGAATGCCTTGCCTCTGGTTATAATGATAAGACTTGGCAGACATGTCGTATACCCCGTTAGGTTTCAAGTGAAATAAGATATTTTTTAAAATGATCAAATGACTTTTCTATTCTGAAGTGAGTGTGAAAGAAAGCAAAGAAAATTTTAACACATATGAAAGTTTCCAGCCAGTAGAAGATGCTCACTTCTATTGAATGAATAGATGAGGTCACACTGAAAGGACAGAAGATTTGAAAAGCTTTGAAATGAACACTGTGGAAAATGTGTTAAGGAGCCAATTAGACATTAATAAAAAGATTTCCAAACAGCAGTGAAGGCTCAGATGAGGTTGGATAACATCAGTTTGTGTGAAAGTTAATAAGCCAAATTTCATGACTTTCTACTAGCAAATAGGCAGTCTGGATATGCTGGAAATAAAGTAGCTCACTTTATTTGTTTTTCCTAAGAGAGGGAACAATCTGAAGAGGACACTGAATTATTGGGAGTATTCTTAAAGTAGGATAGGTGTTGATGCATAGAAACAATACAATTAAGAGATGAACAGAAATATAAAGTAAACTAAAATTTAAGAAAGAAGACTACCTAAATACTGTTATTTTCCCCCTTCAGTACAGTCATGGGCTATATAAAGGTATTTGTCAATATGTTACTAACAGCAACACTTTTAAAATCTGAATTTGTGAATTGTAAATCAAGTCTGAGTTTATTCCATCAATACCAGCTGTGGAAAAAACATAATTTGAGGTTCTCTCTAAAGATATCTTAGAGGACAAGTGTTAGATTGATGATATTTTTAAAGTAATATCTTTACTGATATAACTCATGTACTATAAAATTCACTCCTTTAAAGTATGCACCTCAGTTCCTTCTTACACTTTCACAGGATTATGCACTCATCACCACTAACATTAGGATATTTTCATTTACCTAAAAAGAAACCTGTTTGTTTACTCCTGGATCATGTAATATTTCATGTTGATTAATGCATTTTTCTTTAAAATATTAAGTTGAGTGATAGAATTATTTCTAACCCTACCCCATTTCAAATATTGTTCTTAAGTAGTTCCAGTATTTCTCTCTTGAAAGTCTTGATCTGCTTTTGTTTTTGTTTAACATTTATTTTTTTCTCCTTAGGCATTTGCAGATTTTCCCATTACTGAATGACTTGTTTGCTTTGTATTTTAGTCATTCATTTGGAGACAGATGTCTCATTCTGGGTAGTCAGAAACCGACTATTCTTAAAATTGGTTCTGAATAGTCTCTCTTGACTTTGTTAAAGGTTTGGCCATCGCTGCTTTAATTTCCTGCACTATACCTAGAAGTCTTAATTACTGGCTGTATTACTTTGTAGGAATAGGCTAATTTATTTCCCAGGCACTCACTTAAACAAACCTTAATAGTTCAGTTTTGGAATGATTTTTTTCCATCCTAAAGGAGAGAGAAACAGATACTATAAAAAAAAGGGAGGATAGGTAAAAGAGAGATTAGAATAGGGGAATTTTCATTAAAATTCTATCAAAAGCAGGCATAAAACATTTTAATATGTTTACGTATTTTTAAAAAGTTGTCCACAGAGATGCCTTCAGAATACATGGGAAAAATGTTTAACTTCTGGAATTTTTGGAATTCATCCCACTGTCAATACAGTGATGTTCTGATGCTTTACTCATTAAAGAAACAGGTATTGAGAAGGGAAAAATTATTCATTCACTGGTAATTATTGGAGAAGCTGGAATAAACTGTCCTTCTTCCACCAGGACTCAATCAATATCTTGTCAAAGAAAAATATAAACAATAATTTTTCACACAACACATAGGATTTCTGCATACAGAATTACTTATTCTGGTCCTAAATGTTTTATCTGTCTTTGTTGTTCTATTTTACGACTGTGGTTGATTCCTGCTATTTGTTCTCACATGGTCTTTCCTAGGCACTGCTCACCAAAAAACTCTTCTTTTTATGTAACTCTACTGTTTTGTTGTTTGATAATGTTGCTGTCCTATGTGCTATGTGGATTCTTTTTGTAACTAAAAATATAAACTAACATTAGCCAGAACTCTGAGAAATATTGTCAGCTATTTTCTATAAATTCCTTTTTCCATTTTCTTTTATTATGAATTTTATTGGTATATTTTAGGTATACAATATAATGACATTTATCATTGGAAATTTGCACCTTCA